TGTTTTTTTACGTGCAGCATTACAGTTTGATGCAGCGTCTGTTACAACAGCCACGAACTTGTTTGTGCCAAGATTTTTAATAACCTCTGATATTTCACTTGCCAAAAATTCACCAGTGAGAGATTGATTAGAATAATTTTTCAATCCGATTAAATATTCTTTTCGAGTATCGGTCGTGACAATGTAATTGTAAATAGAATCCATTGATGGTGACGTCCAGCCGTCCAAGGCTTTATAATAAAATTAATGATTTTAAAACTTAGTAATTAAAAAATTAATACTTTTTTATAGGATGCTTCATACTAAAAGATCACATGTTAATACTAATCTAAGGTCAAATGATCTGCTTTACTTAAGTAATCATCAATTGCTTTATTTACTCGTGCTAATTCTTCATCGAATAATCGATTGGACAAAGTTGTTCTTGAGGGCGGGTTGTATGCAGGGTTAAATTCCTTGAACATATCTCAAATAAATGGATTATTGATAATGTCAAAAGGAATTCCCGCTATTACCCAGGCTTTGATTATTTTTTGATCAAGATGGCTATTAATAGTCTTTGATAGTGGACGGTCTGACATATAATGGGATGTTATTGTTGCTTGTGGCATGGAGTTTGGTAGGACACAGCTTTTTTTTGATCTTCGAGTATAATTTATATCCCTTTCAGCAACCTTTTCACGCCAATAACGTGATATATCATCTGGGCAACCAGCACATTCGTTTGCCAAATGTGCTTCTAATTGCGTTGGTTTTCCTTGTGCCCATATTTTCCCACAATAACTACAAGTTGCCTCATAGTGTCCGTTGTTTTTTTCAGTTCCTTTAACGAAGTAATCCCATACTTCAGAAAATGGACGCCTATTTCGCTGGATACTTTGTGAACTTGATTGTTGTGTAACAGTAAACGTTGAAATTTGAGAGTTAGAGGTATCCGTTGTTGTGGTAATGGTTGTTGCTGCTTGCGTTCTGGTGTCTTCGGCTTCTGAAATAAATTCTTCATTGTCTTCTAGAGGAAACCTATGTCTTTTCTTTGAACTTCCCACGTCTATCGCACTTTCCTGGTTCATTGCTTTGAACTAAAATCATAATATTTAACGAATATTAATGATTATCTATATTACACG